AAACCCTGTATATATATATATATATATATATATATATATATAGATAGAGAGAGAAAAAAAAATAGTATTCATCCAATTAAAAAAATGCAGGGTAATGATTCACATCTATATTTTTTAACTTGAGCCAATGAAAAATAATTAACTTGCCCTAACTATTACCCTAAATTTTTTTAATTGGATGAATGAAACATTTTTTTCAGTGTATAAATAGTTTTTAAAAATGTATAGACGTGTTAAATGCTTTGAAAAAAAAACTATTGCTGATTCAATTTTCTAAAAAAGTCTAACAAATAAATAAATATATCATTTCTAAAAATCAGAAATGTTTGGTTGGATACTAATTTGGATCAGATATATATTTTTGGGCACACATAATTCCATCAGCATGTTTTTTTTTTCCAGACTTTAACCACCTAGACATTAAATGAAACGCATGCTCTCTGATATTCAGTATCTGACAATGTGTTTTTCAACGGTTGATGCTTAAATGATTGCATTCCTGAATGTGAACATTCATTACCTTTTTGGACAGTACTTCAACCTCAGATGCTGCAGTTGTGTAAATGTTTATGAAGTTTTACACTAGAATCTCCAGCTTGACAACCATCCACAATTATTGGACAATATACTGATCAATACTCTCAGGGTTTGAGTTAACCTGGCAAAATACTGTAAATGATTCACGTGTATTCCAGAAAGAATACAAAAGTCTATATTTCTTGTCAAAAAATGTTAGGTGAGCATAGCCTACTTTATTCATTTAACATTGTGTCAAATTGTTGATGGTTAGACTTGGCAGTTTTTGTACAATTGCTACACGGTAAATCCAGTTGATTATTTGTTTCTTCACAGTATTTCAGAACCCTGATAAAAGAAGCAAGCAATTTTGCCAAGATCCTTTCAAGGTGGCAACAGCATGCCTGACTGCCTTCTGCCTCATCTTACTCATGATCCTGGTGGTCACAAATGTTCACAGTGGTACTACTCTTTTCTCACTTACATGACTTTGGTGTGAATGTGTTTATTAACAAGTAGGACATTAAAACAAATTCAGATTCATTTTGATTTGATTCAATTCTGATTGACAAGAATTCCAATTTTGTTTCGATTTGATTCAGTATATTAAGTTACGATGCCCATTCTGCTTACTGTAGATATGAAATGAATTCTCTCTCAACTGCTATTGCTGTAAATTATACAAGGAAACTTCTAACTTGATGCTTTACAAAAATATAAATTTAAAAATGTAAAAACTACACTGTTGAACTGTTCAGTTGCTATTTATCTTCCAGACATAACCAAAAAAAAAAAAAGAAGTGAATTTCTTGCATTAAAACACCTTTTTATTTTCTCTATTTCAGTCTTTCTACTTCAAAATGTCACATTTTATTCAATGCGTTACTTGCCATTTCTTTGTAATTTAATTGTAAAATTTACTAGCAATTTCTGAGTGAAATTTTTTTTCTACATCAATTTTTTTTCTGTATGTAAAACTATTATAAAATGTGACCCTGGACCACAAAACCAGTCATAAGGGTTTTAAATTGAATTTTAAATTTTAAATTGAGATTTATACATCATCTGAAATCTGAATAAATAATATTTCCATTGATGTAAGGTTTGTTAGGATAGGATAATATTTGGCCGAGATACAACTATTTGAATATCTGGAATCTGAGGGTGCAAAAAAATCTAAATATTGAGAAAATCTTAAGACTGCTTTTGTGCTCCAGGGTCACAAATTAGTTTTAACAGATCAGTTTGAAACTTATGTTATAAACTGAATCTTTCTATCTTTATTTCTTAAAATCCTGTTTCTCTTTATATCCTATCATTGACTTGCATCTACCTTCATTTCTTTTCTTGTGTTTTAGGTGAGGCACGTTCATCTGATCAGGATTCCCCGTCCAGCACTGCTGAATCACGCATGCAGAAGGGCTGCGCTAACGTAACGGCTCTGACTGAAGAACTGCAGGCTGTGAAGAGAGAAAAGAGTCAACTGGAGGAAGAATGGACACAGTTGAAGAAAAAGATCGCTGAGCTTGGTTAGTGAGGTGCAAGTGCATGCATTTGTGCTATCAACAAACAATATCTGTTGCATTTAATAACGTTAAAATATTTGGTCTTTTAGAGGCAACCACTGCACCACAAACCACTCCAGTACCAATGAAGAATCCCTGTCCTGAAGACTGGAAGCACTTTAACGGCAGCTGTTACTACGTCTCAGAATACCGAAGGAGTTGGTCGGACAGTCAGGCGTACTGCAAACAACAAGGAGGACACCTGGCCATCATCCTCACAGCTGAAGAACAGGTAAAGACTGTTCTTTCATTTGCATTTATATCAGTGTGTGTGTGTGTGTGTGTGTGTGTGCAGATATGTTTGCTGAACATCAAATGGCCTCAAATAACACTGAATTTAGACCTGTATAGTTGTCTAAAAAGAACACAAACTATTGGCCAGGAATATGCAAAAGAGGAAGGGATCTTAGTTGAAACATGTGAGCCATTCAAATGGATTCTTAAGTTTTTTTTGACTGATTTTATTGATATTTCAACTTTTGACCTGATGAAGACGTTCATATGGAACCTGCTGCCCCGTGGATACTGGAACTCTTACTGGTTTGGCATAAGTGATCAAAAAGTAGAAGACGACTGGTACTGGGTGGATGGAACGAAACTGGTTGGAGGGTAAGAATATCGCATTTAATAAGTTAAAACTCTTTTGCTGGAAGTCAGATCGCTACGAATTCTTGGAAACATTTCCGTATTATGACGCATCTCACTTGGAGTTAAAACTACTGAATCATATTTTTTTCACCTTTTTCTTTTTTGGGTGAAAGTCTTGTGATGATACACTGAATCATCTCATCCTTCCTCTTTGTTAAAAATAATAATAATAATAATAAATGAAAAAAAGAAAAACAGGACAAAGGGATCTTGCATAAAACAATTTTCTTATCATTTATATATCCTCAAAATGATATATATATACTCAGTGTTTAATGTCATTTGAGATTCATTAATGTTAGTGGCTGCTTGGGAATAAGAAATTGATATTTTACCCTTTACATATATAATTATTCTAGGGAAAATATTACAGGAAACATGTTATTTTTGTGCTCATTTTATTTTATTTTATGCAAAGCTGTTATGAGGTCATGTACATATAAAGGTCTTATGACAGCCTGGTCAATGCATTACAGTAGGTGTAGAAAAAAATCACCCCCCTTTAAAATAATCACATTTTGTTGCTTTGCAGCCTGAAATGAAGACGGACACAGTTTTTGTTTTATCCAGTTTTTTTTTTTTTATCTGAAAAAAATAAAAATGCAGACTCAGCTACGTTTACATGCAAACAAATAAACCATTTGTAATCGGATTGACGACTCAATCGGACTGAAAAGCCTTCATGTAAACACCTTTAATCGATCTGATTGAGCTCGATCGGAATGAAATTTCGATCGGATTGAAGGAAGTCGTGGCCTAATGGTATTGGTTAGAGAGTTGGACTCGTAACCCAAAGGTTGCGGGTTCGAGTCCCGTACCGGCAGGGATTGTAGGTGGGGGGAGTGAACGTACAGCACTCTCTTCCACCTTCAATACCACGACTGAGGTGCCCTTGAGCAAGGCACCGAACCCCCAACTGCTCCCCGGGCGCCGCAGCAAAAAATGGCTGCCCACTGCTCCGGGGGTGTGTTCACGGTGTGTGTGTGTTCACTGCTGTGTGTGTTCACTTTGGATGGGATAAATGCAGAGCACTAATTCTGAGTATGGGTCACCATACTTGGCCACATGTCACGTCACTTTCTTTTTCTAATACGATTGAGAGTGCATGTAAACACTCGATTGAATTGAACCCCGAAACTGAAAGGACTGCGCATGTGCAATGACGCAGGAATAGGAACATAACGACGTATGACGCGTGGAACGAACGGTTCTTCCTTTTGAATAAAGTGTTGTATAAATGCGTGTCCTGTCATTATAAAACTCTCCTTTCACTCGGCAACTGTGAAGTGGAGCAGGACAACCTCCCACCAGTCCTTGTTTTGGATTCTCATCCACAGGAAGGGCATTTTTACTGCATGATAATTTAAACATGAGCAGCACGGCACAGCAGTTTATATGTAGGCTATATTTATAGAGTCATCAATCGGAATGAATTCAGTCCGATTGAACCAAAAATTATGCATGTAAACGTAGTTGGAAAAATTATCACCCTCCTCCTAAAAATGGCTTGTAAACTCAATCAGGTGTAGTTAATCACCTTCTCAATGGCACACAAAGCCATTTGACTTTCAGCTGTGATCATTTTGATTAGAACTGCATGAAAAGAGCTTTCCTGGAGCATTTTTAATTCCTTGGTAGTGCAACTGAAGCAAATAATCAACTATGGTTGGCAAGGCACTGTCAAAAGATCTCCGGGATAAAGTTGTGGACAGGCACAAGTCAGGAGATGGATGCAAAAAATTTTCAAAGGTTTTATCAATGCCTAGAAGCACAGTGAAGTCTATTATTATGAAGTGGAAGGTATTTGGTACAACACAGACCCTCCCTGGATCAGGATGTCGCTCCAAACTGGATGAAAGAGCCAGGAGGAAACTGGTCAGAGACGTGACCAAGAGGCCTACAGCAACTCTGAAGCAGCTGCAGGAATTTATGACAAACTGTGGTCATTGTGAGCATTTGACAACAATATCATTCTCCACAATTGTGGCTTGAATGGAAAAAAGCCACTCCTCAAGAAAGATCACATGCAGTCACGACTGAGCTTTGCCAAAACGCACTGTGAAGATGCTGAGGCAGATGAGACCAAAATTGAATTATTTGGCCTCAACACCAAATGATATGTCTGGCAGAAATCCAATAATATGTACACTTTAGATACTAATATGTACCTTTAAGGAAATCTGCTGCCGTCTGCCAGAAAGTTGTCAATGGGAAGAAGGTTTACTTTCCAACATGACAATGACCCAAAGCACACAGCAAAACTCAGCACACAGTAGTTGGAGAAAAAGGTGAATGTCCTTGCATGATCTATCTTTCACTTGGATGTTATAAGTTGCACTGAGTAAATACATCTGAAACAAAAATTGTGGCTCTTCATTTCAGGCAGCAAAGCAACAAAATGTGATCATTTTAAAGGGGGGTTATTCTTTTCTATAACCACTGTATACAATTAATCAGGGAAAATGGTCATAAAATACGAGATATTTAATTAACTTTAGCATATTAAACATATTTTAGCACCACTTTGATTTGCCATTGTCATTTTAAAAATGATGCTACGTCCACTTCTTAAAAGCCTATATATCCTAAGGAAACCAGGCTGTCTGACTATTGAACCCATGTAACACCCTTCTTTTTCCTTCATAGTTTCTGGGAAGATGGTGAGCCCAACAACCATGTTAATGAAGACTGTGGCAACATGGTAAAAACAAATGTTTTAAGCCGTGTGGCTACAAAGAGCTGGTATGACGCTCCATGCTACATGTCCTTGCCCTGGATCTGTGAGAAGCTGGTGTCCTCTTGAACTTTGCTCCTACCATCATCATCTTCACCACCAGCATCAACAGACATTCATTGATCATTAGTAATACAAGCTGTAATGAAATTTCCATAGCATTTAGAATGTCTGGTCTCAGGGTTTTCAGTGTTTCAAACTTTAAATGACTAACTGCAGTCATGGGTCAAAAAAAAAAAAAAAAAGCAATTAACTTTTTATTTTACTCCGACACCATATGTGCATTAACCTACATTTAGCTATGCATTTTAACACTGGACAATTTAGTGAATTTATTAACTGCTCAAATATTAAACAAATCTATTGAGGCTGATTAAAACCTTTTTTATGTTAAAAAAAAAACATTTGTATGTAAGAACATATTGTCTGTCTTTTCCTAAACGACTAAACATTTTTAAAATTCCTTATAAATGTTTTCTATGCATTTTTGGGGGTAACCAATAACAATGTAATAGTCATTTTATATAAATATCTATTTTTTCTTATAAATTTGGGAATGTCTGGCAGTTCCACTTACACTCAGTAGGGCGCAGCATTGAGTCAAGGTTTTGATCATAACAGTACAATACGATCAGTCGATACCTGGTTTATTTTACTTCATTAATATTGACAAACCTATCTCTGTCATCCGAATGTTACAAATAATCACAGAAATCCGTGCCTTTGTTGTTGTTTTTCTAGACTATGCATCACTTTAGTTAAGATTCATTTTAAGAACAAACAAGATTATTTATATTCAGTGTTGGGGGTAATATATTACAAGTAACGCAAGTTTTATATTTGCCAAAAATATAACTTTTTTATTTCAAAAACAAACAAGCAAGCCCTGTCCAGATTTAAAAAGTAGCGCAAAAGTAACGTAACGCATTACTTTCCATAAAAAGGTAACGCAATTAGTTACTTTTTTAATGGAGTAATGCGATATTGTAATGCATTACTTTTAAAAGTAACTTTCCCCAACACTGTTTGTTTTAGACCATTATAAGCCACACTAGTTCAGTATGTGACCAACTAAACCAAATACCAAAGTCAAAGTCTTCGGAAAGCAATACAAACAATCTTTTTATCTTCTTTATCTCTTTTTGGCATACAAAACAGGCCCTTGCCTTGTACAGATTTAAGCGTTTGCGTAAGGCACACGGATGAATGCATTCTGGGTCGTGTCCTCTCATGTCCCATCCGACTGTTTTTTATGACAGTGCTGTGACTGATTGCCACAGTTACTCATAGTGACGCCAGCAGCCTAATCAAACTTCTATATTTTACATACATCAGCTTAATCCTAATCACAGTGATGTTAGACTGCAGTAGAACGGCACGTAGCTTTGTGTTTTGAGCTCATTATTTAAGCCCTGTTACGGTAAAACACCTTTATCAACTCTGATCGGGCTTATTGAACAGAAATTACTTTGTTAAAGTCACTTTAACGCCATGATAGCATGATTTTTAAATTTTCCTATAAAATGAATTATGCTCATCCCTTTTGCACCAGGACAAGCAGGGCTAGTAGAGCTTTAAATGTCTTTTGGCTTTTCACAGTCATTTAGGTTGAGATTATAAAATTTAGCCTACATCGACAAGATGCGCGTTAAATATCGCATGCGATTAATCGTGCAGCCCTAGATTAAAGCTAATAATTGGCAGATATGTTTTCAGCAGTAAGCCTTATTTTTCATCTCTATTTCCTGTGAATGTGCGGTACTTCTCATGCATTAGCTGTTATCTAAGTACAAGAACAGAGTGAAGTAAACTGTAAATCTCATAGTTTAGCATTCATTGCTAAATCACTTTACTATTTTCTCCAGTAAGTAAATTTTCAAATCTCTTAGTACAAAAATACAAACTGATCAAACTTGTAACACAACTTTCAAAACCAGATCTCATGCTTTCATTACAATTTTCATTATAGTTACACATTTTCAATTCACATAATCATTGTTTCAAAGCACAAGATTATTGTAATATGTAATGAGAACATTTGAGTTTATCACCGAAACATAACAGAACATTCTGAATGAACAACAGTTCATTCAATAGCAAACAATACAAGAAGCATGGTCCAGTTCACCCTTGTTGCTGAATTAGTAGCAGAAACACAGACTACAGATGATACATTCGAAAATACACGTAAACTATCTAACTGACATCAAAATTATATGTAATAATTTGTTTGTAATAGTGTCTATTCAGTGTGCCATCAAAAGTTGTGATGAAGTATGACGCTAGTGTAACCCCTCTCTCCCGGGTCCTCACCGCCACACCTCGTTCTTGTTCCGAGTGGGTCTAAAACCCGGGTCTCCGGCATGAGAGGCGGACGCACTAACAAGGAGGCTGAAGACTGCAGCCCCTAGCGTCAGTCGCTAGTGCGCCTCTTGAGATCAGGGGAGTGAGGTTTACCTGCACAGCACCTACCTGCTGGCCTCCGTTACACTCACCCCCCTAATCCTTACTCCCATCCGGGTCACGGCACCAATGTAACCTCTCTCTCCTGGGTCCTCACCACCACACCTCGTTCTTGCTCCGAGTGGGTCTCCGGCATGGGAGGCGGGCGCACTAACAAGGAGGCTAAAGACTGCAGCCCCTAGCGTCAGTCGCTAGTGCGCCTCTTGAGATCAGGGGAGTGAGGTTTACCTGCACAGCACCTACCTGCTGGCCTCCGTTACACTCACCCCCCTAAACCTTACTCCCACCCGGGTCATGGCACCAATGTAACCTCTCTCTCCCGGGTCCTCACCACCACACCTCGTTCTTGCTCCGAGTGGGTCTCCGGCATGGGAGGCGGGCGCACTAACAAGGAGGCTAAAGACTGCAGCCCCTAGCGTCAGTCGCTAGTGTGCCTCTTGAGATCAGGGGAGTGAGGTTTACCTGCACAGCACCTACCCGCTGGCCTCCGTTACACTAGCCATGAGGTTTAGTAGAGAGTTGGCAGCTCTTTGGACAGTGCTTTTCTGACTGACCCATCCATTTCTCAACTAATTAGCTAATGAGATGAATCAGGTGTGGTTGATTTGAAGAGTTTGAAAAATATGTAGGCTACTGTTGGTGCCTCCAGGAACAGGGTTGGGAAATACTGATGTAGCAACATCCGCTTGTTTTCTTATGGTTTTCTTATTGTGTGCACATTTATGGGTATCATGTTTCCGATTACATAACCACATGTGCGTTAGTATGCATTTCACTGAAATGTTTCCTCGGATTGTTTGCAGTAACAGCTTATGCATATTGATGAGAAAATATCAGATTTATTTAATATTAAAAAACAAACAAACACACAGCAAGGGTCCTTTTAAAAATGATAAATATTGTGAACACAACATTGAGCATATGCATCTTGTGGTCATTCATAATGCAAAGAAACACAACCGTACAGTGCTATTAATATATGCTTACATAAATGTTTTTTTAAATAATAAGTGTTAATCACACATCAAGTATGATTTCAAACTGTCCAGCCTCTTTAGAGAGGAAAAACACATCTTTGGCCACATCCTTCTTATTTTGACACTTCTTACAATTCATACAATTTTCTGACCTCTGAAATGTCACGTCTCACTTCTCATCCAGCTACATTTCTTCTGCCTTCAGTATTTACTCCTTTGCAATACATACACTTCTCTCCAGCTGTTTTTAGACTTAACTCTGCTTCAGTCAGGTTAACATGCCCCACCAGGCCTTAACACGTGTGGGACTCTTCATCCCTGAGCTTTTGCTGAAAAACACCAACTTCAGCAGCACCACAGTAATAACTTTGTTGTTGTTTTTTTTTTTTTTTACTAAGGAATCTACTGTTTTGCATCTTAAATTCTGGCCACATGCAGTTTAAGTGTTCCCAGGCAACAGTACTCAAAGAGCATTGGGAAATGCTGTCACTGGTCCCAAGTTCAGTAGGGAATGCGAGCATTCACATTGGAAGTCTATCTTGGCAGTCTCTTGAAAGCCTTTGTCATATCTTTAAGGCAGCCAGCTCCGATGGTTCACTTTGCAGCCTTGTAGGCAGCTAAGTTCAGTGGCTCCTTCCTCGGGACGCACCAGTCATCAGCTTCCTGGTTGAATTTGTAATGGCGCAAGGCAGTCTGATTGAACACTGGAAGCTTCTCTACTGAATCTGTAGACAGGGCCTGCGGGAAGAAGACTGTGGATTAATGATTTGAAGACTGACAGATGTAATGTCCAAAGTTGACAGGATGTTTTGCACGGGTACAAGATCAACAGATAAGGTTAGTGTAAGCAAAACCCTCATTACGATTTGCCATCTTGCGGTTTGTTTAAAATTTCACCTAAAAGTGCAAAGTCGTGGTTTACTCATTGTTCCAAACCCATATGACTTACTTTCTTTCGTGGAATACAAAAGGAGAGGTTTAGCATAATGTTGACACAGCCCATTTAATGATAGCTGGGCAAAAATCCTCATATGGTGAGGATTAGTAACAGAATTTCAATTTTTATGCAAGCTAACACTTTTTTTTAGGGATCTCTTTACCTTCAGCTGAATTACGGCATCTGTACCATAGCCCTCCATTGGATAAAGCTGGAGATCACCTTGGAAGTATCGTGCATACAGGCGGGAGGTGGGAAGGCCATAACCAAAGCCAGCCTGAGGGATAGGTTTGACTTTGAGTTTTTTATGAAAAAACATGCACCTGCTATTATGTAGTGTCCTATGCTCTTACCACTGGGGTCCGTTGATGGTCACCAATAGTAGGTCTGGGCGCTGTTGAATACATGTAGCTAAAAAGTCTATCAATCTTCCTGAAAGGAACGCCACCGCCCCTGTCACTGATCTGGAACATGAAATGTGAATGTTTAGAGAACAATGACGTGTTTTGTGAGCTGCATTACAACAGATGATGAATACGTGTGGGTTACATGACTAAGACTAAGGGATTGTCTTTTGTATATGTATAAGAAGATAAATATAATCTTGCAAACACTGTTACCACATGGATATAGCATTGCAGTTCAATGTCTGCTTTGTTGCACGCTCTAGCCACCAGCAGGGCAAAGGTTAATATCGGTAATACTAGTCAAAGCTAGTTTCCATTTATGGCAACAAATTATCTTGATTAAGGGTGGTTAGAATATTCATCTCTAGGACAGTTTATATAACAGTTATTATCAGTTATCACTGAATCTAGGGCAATGTAACAGTGTGAGCAAGGAACCGGTAGTTGAGAAGAATGATTCAAACAAGGCGGTGGTGTTGGTGTGGCCTCATATTCTCACTGCCAACTTTCTCTAAAAACATCATATTTGAACTTTCAATTTACCTTGATTGACAGGTCCTCTCCGCCTAGAGCAACCATGACTTTGATTGGTGGCAATGTGCTGCTTGTTTCATGAGTCTCAATAGTAGCCCTCATTGCATTCTGGAGTGGAGGAGACATAAGAATGACTTATTTAAAATCTAAAACGAATTATCATTCCATATGCGTCTGCAGTATGCAAAAATAAAGCACCATGCCTACCTTGAAGAGCTCAAAAACCATGTGGTAGAGATGAGAAGGAACGTAGGAAATCTCGATTGGTTGCGACTTGTTCTTTGCTGTACCAGAGAACAAATATTATAAAATACAATGTAGTTTGTGAATGAAATTGAAATGAAACATGATGGAACGTCTGGAGAATATATTTGAACATGTCTGTTCCTCACCGTTTATCTCTCTAAGCTCCAGCTCAGGGGATCCGAGGTAATACTGCTCACAGAGCATTTTAGCACACT